CTGCAACAAGGCCTCTCACCTCACATGAGCAGATCCCTAAAACCACCATAAATCACTACCATACAAAGCTTCTCACCGTTGTGCGCAAGCCCTAATCATCGTTATTCGTAATACACCTACAAAGGCCTTTGAGTTCCTCTGCCCTTGCAGGAGGAACACACACCTGTACTTTTTTTTTTACTAGTACATGATTATAATACTGAAAAACATGTTATACAAAGCATGTTGATTATGCTCTAGAAGTTAGTTGCATCATGCTCTCAACCATTAACTGTGAGTTTTAGAAGCAACATAATTACATGGAAGCCTTCAATATGGTTGAACATTTGAAAATGATTTACCAAAAGCAAACTAGACATGAGCGGTTTGAGGTATCCAAGGCCATTTTTCAAACTCGTTGGATTTTATTTGTCGAAGCATAAATTTATTCTCCTTTTTTACGGTTCGTTGAATTTTCCGAATATTATTTTTAAAATTTTCTTTGGAGAATTATTCAAATTTTTTCTCTTTTAAAAAATTATTTACGATTGTCAAACGACCATTATTTGAGGGTGTATTCTAGAGCGGTACCTACAATGCAATAGGATATCCTACGGTTTGACTCAAGTGTTTTATCTTGGAGACTTTGTGCTTAATAGTCTACATGCACAATTTTTGAAGATGCAAGGAAACTTCCTAATAGTCTGCATGCACAATTTTTGAAGATGCAAGGAAACTTCTTAAGAGCGCGACATAATTCGCAACTGAATTAATAATTTCTTTTGGTGGCATAAATCAATTTTTTAACTTTTTTTGAAATTCCAAATCAACATATAATTTTCCTTTTTAGAGACTAAATTGAATAACAAATTTTTTGTATGAAGTAATAGCTTCTCTTGATCCTAAATCCCACACTTCTCCTCCAGGTTCCACACACAATGGAGTAGTTTTTTAAACACAATTCCTATGAATTCTCAGAATATGCTAAGCCCAAACTAAAATGTTGTTGGAGTGGAATAATATGAGACACTTAATATGAAGTGGAGAGTTTTACTATTGAAGGACAAAAAATAACAACTCATAAACTAAAAAGAACTGTACTAACATAAATGTATGAAATTCTATGTACATTTCTTACAACGTTAGACAAACTTTGTAAAATGATTAACCACACCAGAAGTCATAATACAAAATTTTCCATATTTTGCTACAAATTATGTGGAGTTATTCTTTCTGTATTAAAAACAGTATGTCCTCTTGGAGTTATTCTTTCTGTATTAAAAACAGTATGTCCTCTTGATGTTACAGTGTTATGATTTATGTCAACACTATTATTGTACTCTTCACTAGCATCTGGTGTTTCTAATTCATCACCATTTGATCCTACTCCAACATATTGTTGAACTACCAAAATTGAAGCAGCTGCTGCAAAATCTGATGAAGCTAATAAATCACCTATTGCACCCATCTCAGGACAGTCACTCCAATCAGTTAACCCTGCTGTCAATGGTGATATCATTCCTTGACCTCTTCCAACTATGAATAGATCATGTATATCATCCATTGCTCTTACTGCTGCTACTGTTTCCTCTCCATTGTTAACTACTTTCTCAAAGTAGTTAAACGAATCATCGTCCTCGTATCTCATTCTGAACTCGTGTATTAGTTTATCATCTATTTGTCTTTCAATATCATTGTCTGTTGCAACTGTTAACACGCTTGGTTCGTCTAAATTGATTCCGTTTTGATGTTGTTGTTGAACCGGTTCGCTTACTTTTTCGCCCGGGACAAACCGCATTATGGTTAGGCTTATACTGGTGTGTTCGAACATTCTCCATCCGTAGCTTAAGGCTTCTCTGTCGTCCGGTCCACCGAAGAACATTACTGCTATGTTATGTGTTACTTGATTTGAGCCTAGTCGGTTTATACCGTTGAAGCCTCTGTCAACTAGAATTCCAACCGAGCAAGGGGCGTTAGCTAGTACGTTTTGGTTGATTGTTCGAAACGACATGTTTGTTGCTTCCATTCCGCCGTCAACTGTTTGTTGTTTATGAAACGGGACGATTATTAGCGATACACGCTTTTCTTGTGCTAAAGTGCATATATCTTCATGCATTGTTGAGTAAGGGGAAACTGCTGTTAGAGGCTGGACCGAGACGAATGAAGTGTTTTGTTCGTAGTTTTTAAAGGCGTTGATTATGTGATCGGACTGAGCTTCTGTTCGGTTAATTGCTGTCTGTTCTGGTTTTGCTGTGTTGTGGACAATAAGCATTGCTGATGTGCGGCCGCTGAGTTCGACCAAATGAAGCATGTAGAGGTATATCGGCGACTTCTTGGTTGGATTCGAGGCTTCGAGGAGGTTGATCATTGTTGCCACATTTCGAGGACTATGGACACAAACTAGTATTCTAAATTCTCCATCTGGTTTTGATATCTGAATTGTTCTTCTTTTGTAGTGTATGTTTCTTCTTGATGGTCTATAAATTATCGATACAGCAGGTACAATGATTCCGGTCATTATTACGGTTATAATCACCATGACGGCAAATGATTCTTCATCGAAAATCTGCATAAAGTGTTAAGTAGTCAAAATGAGTGATTCATTGAGAGGAATAAGCAAGACAATGAAAATACAAATAGCAAACAATGGTACTGTTATAGTATTAACACCTTTTGGTCCTTTCCAACATTGAGAACAATCATTTCAACAAGTCCTTTTGTGTTCATGAGTAATCCGAGGGTAGCGCCTTCGCGGATCGGCATATGATAAAAGAATGCAACAGCTAGAGTTCCAACAACTTTGCCGATGCAAGCAAGAAAAATGACAATAATAAGAATACTCCAAGTGCAAGACCCTCGAACGAGTCCTATATCGGTTTTTAACCCACTGATTGCAAAAAATAGAGGTAGCAAAAGTCCCGAAACAAAATCCTCAAGCTTTTCCACAAGAGTAACACCAAGTGGTCCGCTCGGAATCGCCAAACCAAACACAAAAGCTCCGAAAACAGAATGTGTTCCAATAGCATCGGTGATGAAACCGGAGATCATAACACCGGCTAATATAAGAGATATATAGAATTCACTGAATGATTCACCTTCGGGTGTTTTCCTAACTACCCATGAAGCTGCTGGTCGAACGGCGTAAATACAAAAGGCGACAAACGCTGCACCCGACAATAAAACCCAAAGGGAAGCAAAAGATATTTCATTTTCAGCCAATGCAATTGCTAAAGCCAAGAGAATCCAAGCGCACACGTCATTAATGAGTGCAGACGAAAGAGCGAGCCTTCCTAAATCCGTGTTAATAAGTTTTAGCTCGGCGAGGATTCGAGCTAAAACAGGAAAAGCAGTGACAGATAGAGCGACTCCGAGGAACAGAATATAAGTTCCTTGGTGTATGTCAGTGTTAATGTGTTTATTCAAAAGTACGGAAAAAGAAGCACCAATAATGAAAGGCAAAACCATGCCAGAAATTGCTGCAAAAACCGCCTTTCTCCCTACGCTGCGCAAAATACTTACGTCCATCTCCACCCCAACCAAGAAGAGGAAATAAAGTAAACCAACATTCGCCATTGTTTCAATCACCATCACACTTCTTAAAGGAAAAATCGCATTGGCTAATACTTTGTTTTTTCCTAGCACCGAAGGACCTAACATTACTCCACCCTGCACCGAAGAAAACGTCACATCTATCAGCAATGCAATGCAACACAAAGGGCATTTTTGTGATTGATAAGAAAAGAACTAACCAAAATTTCGGCTATGACACGTGGCTGGCGAAAGGGCTTGAGAATAAAGACGAACATGCGAGTGGCTGCGACAACTAAAGTTAATTGCAAGATGAAAAGTGGGAGAGAATAATTCAAAGGGTTATCTCCTTGCCATATTCCATCTGTTGTAATCATGGTTGGTGCATAACACACTATATATGCATCTGTTTTGTTTCCTTTATCTCCCATTTTTTCCCTTGTTAATCCTCTATTGATAATATAACAACTTTCACCTTCTGTTATATGCAATCCTAATAGAGGATTCTGTCATCTGTCAAACTTGTATTACCAATGCAATAGCAGCATATAAAAAAAAATTGTTATTGAACCTTGCAGAAAAAGATTGTTTGAATCTTGCAGATGGATGATAAGGAGGGAAAATAATTTAACAAGAAGAAGAAGGACAATTATTATTTTTGCTTTGTTTTGTTGAAAATTAGAAACTAGAGGAAGGTAGAGAGAAAGGAAAAAGGTTGGTTTTGTTTTGGTGGTTTTCCACTCCAAGTGGGAAATTGTAGTTAAAATCTATGGTCAATGATGTGCAGAGGAAAGGGAATCTATTTTAAGAAATCTTAAGATTTTATATATATAATGTGAGTGATTATTATAGATTAAGAATAAACATGTGTGTGTATCAAAATTTAATCCCATCTCTTACTGATTAAAATGCTATCAGTTTAGATTCTTCTCAAGAACCATGATATTTGCAGCAAATCAGCAATGTATTATTTCTTAATCTCATATTAAAAATAAAAAATTTCGAATTGTTTAAAATTAATTGATTAACTAAAATACTTAATATTTTTAACAAATAAAAAATTTATAAAGTATTTTATTGAATATCTTGGTAAAGTAATTTGCAAAAAGAAAACATCTGAAGTTCCTCCCAACACCTTTTGTAGAAATTCCTTTTATTTGTTTTTTCTTCTTAAAATAAAAGCTCCTTTTAGTTTGTTAAGAGGTTTTCTTAAATCTTGAATGCAAAAATCTTCTTTTGAATGCCAGTTAATGATGTCATGTGTATTTTTTTTTACTAATATTTATTTTATTTTGAATAAATTAAGATGTATTTTTTGGAAAACATAAAAGATAACTTAAAGGTGGTGCCAAAAGTATTCTTAATAACTAATGATTTATTCGAGAATGTCACACCTCATTATTCTCCAATTCATAATACACAGAAAATCCAAGTTTGAAGATGATTTTATAGCATTTTCAAACTAGATGTTGTGGTTAAAAGTTATAAAAAAACTACATGGGAATATTTGTCGGGTACTCCTGTGGATGTTTTTTTACAGTCTCCCTCAGCCATTTCTCTTGTTCACGGAGATTGAATGGAGGAACATGGTAGACGTCATTAAACATGTCTGCAAGGGGAGGTTTTTCTACACTTTCAGCAACTTGAATCGTCTGAAGAAGCTGTAGCAGGAAATTTGTGAGTTTGATAACTATTTAATACTGCAAAACTTTTGGTGCAATATATCATTAAGTTGGGGTTAATGGGGTAAACCATATAGTCGAATACCCCATAGAAGTCACAATTGTATTAGTAAAGGAAGAACGATTTATGCAGTGATTACAAATTCAAGGAATATATTTGAACGGAAGTCTGGTATAGTGGCATCTAGTATCGACCGAAGGATTTTTCAGGGAAAAGATATAGTTTACCTGCTGTCTCAAACTGTTTCGAAGCTCAGACTCAGCAATGTCATTCCACCAACCATTCCTTTCTATCCACTTTCTAAATCTCGCCAAAGGATCACGTGTCGATCTCCACCAATCAATCTCTTTGGCAGGACGATACTTGGTAGAGTCATCTGATGTGGAGTGGTGTCCTGCTCTATATGTAAGGGCCTGAAAAAACAGAAGAAACAGATACAACATTGGTCTTCCGTTAACATACTTCAATATGAGACCATATACTGGCATTTTTTTTAAACATGCCGAAAGATTTGGCTTCAAAGGTTATAATCATTTTACTTCTATCAAAATTGGTCTCTTTTCGCTAACTGCCATTTGCCGAGCAGCTTGAACAGCACTATAAATGGCCAGAGCATCATTCCCATCTACACGAATACTACGAACTCCATAAGCTTGTCCTTTTACAACAATACCATCACCTATTTATAAACACAAAAACCAGCACAATATGTTGTTATACATTGTGAGACAATGGAAAAGACTTAGACAGTAGAAGAAATTGAAATAGAAGGTACAGAAAATTACTTCGAAACTGATCTGATGTAGGGGTACTGATAGCCCATCCATTATTCCGGCATATAAAAATGACCGGGGCCTCCATTACCGCTGCAAAATTTAATCCGGCATGGAAATCTCCCTGTCATAGCTCATAACTCAATCTATTACAATATAAAAAACAAAAGAAGAAAATCTTAAGATATTGAGGATCCTGTTTAATGATTGCTGACGAAAACAAAACCATTCAATCACACTCATTTAATGAGACGGAATAACTTCAGATTTTTTTATTTTTAAAAAACAAGTATATGCAACACTCCTCCTAAACCACAAAAAAAAATATTGAGAATTTAAAAGTTTTAGCCTAAACTGATCCAGTATAACCTTAACTCCTTCAAAAATTTTGAAAACCAAAGATCTCAATACATGCCGTGTTTAAATTGCACAGAAATCTCTTTTCATAAATGGGGGAAATGAGTCTTACTATTATAGGAATTGTACAATTTACCTCACTTGAACCGCCATCTCCAAAGTAAGTTACGGCACATGCATCCTTTTTGTCCAGCTTTAAGGAATACGCAGCTCCAACAGCTTGGGGAATTTGCGTACTACATATCAAAGTAAATCTTTCATTTTGTAACTTTCATAATCATTGGGGAGAAATAACAGCAACAATAATAATAATAGTAATTATCATACATAGATCAATATTTTCAATACTTACGCAACGGTTGATGCTACAGTCACGTAGTTGTGCTTGTTAGACCCATAATGGGCCGGCATCTGCCTTCCTTTCCCATTATCAAATTTATTGGAAAAACATTGATTTGCAAATTCTTGCAGAGTGAAACCACGCCATAACAAGACTCCCTGTTCCCTATACTGCATGCAATCAATCCTATTTTCTGTAAGATCATTTCAAATCTTATACAAGATAGTTATCTTTTCAGCAAAGTTAATAAATTTAAAAATAATAAAACAATAAAAAGCATGGAATTCAGACTAAAAATATACATTTTCCCCTACATTTTTGTTACATATTGCTCACACTCTAATGCAGTATTGTCAACCATAAATTACATAAAATAGCAGTTAAATTTCACTCCAACAACCAAGCCTTATCCCAATAAGTGGGATTGGCTACTTGGATCAAATTTCGTCAGTGTTCTATCCATTATTCAAACCCATGCTTCTATTCAACTCGTAAACTTCACTCTAGTAAAGTATTATAGCTTCTATTTGACAATATCAGTTAGTTAAAATTTGTGAATCCGACAACAATATAGATTAGTTAAAATTCAGCTACAATGGTTTTAAAAAACTGTCCGTTACCACAAAAAATGTTCGCGACAAAACAGTATCGGAAGGTGCCATTACCGATACCGTTATTCACCGTTTTTGTGATAAAGAAAAAACTGTGGTTAATTCACACTGCAACGACCGCAATCAACGTCACAACACTTGTACATACTGAAATCGCGGAAGCCTTCATGTGACCGAAGAAAAAAATACAAAAACATAATGTAATCTAGTTAGTATGATAAGTAACCTGAGGGAAAATAACATCATCCATTGAAAGAGCTGCAGCAGATGCAATGTTGATAGCCTCTTCCCCGTTCGTCGTTACATAAAATGAGATTCTTCCTTGTCTTTGTGCTTCATAGAAGATAGTGTCCATAGTTTGAAGTGCAACCATGTTATTATACATTTTAACAGCAAGATCCTCACTAACCTAATCCCAACGCTTATTTATTAATTTATTTTCACATGAACATGCAAAATCAATGAAGATGAAGTTAGTGAAAAGAAAAAAAAAAACCTGCAGAGACTGAGTCCCCAAAATTAGGTCCCCATTGTCATCAAGAACACGGTAACAAGGGATTCTCTCTTGCGTTGATTCAGATAAAAACTTCATTTGAGGAATGAATTTGACGTTTCCTCCAGGAAAATCTATAGCCTTGGATATTATATTAATAAAGTTAGTATGAGAACGTTTGATGAACTGAATTGAATATTAGGAAAATGAAAAAACCTGGTCGTGAACGGAAGGACTGGCCGCAGCGGTGGAGTTAAAGCGGCGCGAATGGAGACCGGTGAGATTAGGTTTCCGACGATCGGCGACGAGAAGAGGAGTGATTCGAGATTTGACGTAGGTGAGGATGGTGGTGGATTTCTTCATCATGCAAATGCGAAAATGAGAGTATAGAGATTCAGAGAGTGAGAATAGCAATGAACATTATTGAGTAAATTATTGAAATGGTTACACAGATATAAAGGTGGTGATTTTAGTTACGGAATTTGCTACAGGACAAAAAGATGATCCAATCAAAATTGAGGGGAAATAAGATGAACGTCAAATGGTACGTGGGAAGTCAATGGGAAAGACTACTCACTACCACGTCATATAGATTTTAGTTATTGTAAATGAAGAAAAGATTTAAATGAATTAATAAATAATTATGACTATTATATAGAAAAAATTTAAATAAACTAATAAATAATTAAGAGTAATATAGATAAAAATAATTATTATTTAAAAATAGTAATTTTTTTGTTTCACAATGAATATACCAAATAATCATTTCACATATATAAAAAATGAATAAATGAAAGAATTAATTATTAAAAAAAGTGAATAAATAAAAAGGAAAATAATATTTTTATTAAATTATTCGTTATTAAATTAGTAATTATTATCAAGTATCGGAAACACTTAAGTTAAAGTAGTAGTAGTGATTATAGAGTAAAATTGAAAACAAAGAAATTGATTTGTATTGTATACTAAAATTCATTATTTATTTTTTTAAAAAAATTATTCTAAATAAATCAAATGGAGTAGTTTCATTCTTATGCACAAAATTTTTTTAAAATAAATAATTACTAAAAAGAAAAGGAGGGAATACATGTTTCATGGTTTACCGTGATAAGAATGTGCCTGGCAGTATTTGATCCTTCATTATTCATTTGTTGTATAAAGAATAAGTAAAACATTATGACATTAACAAAAATATTTTAAATATAATGCATATAATTGTAATAGATATAAATAATAAAATTGTTGATGATAAAATATTACAATAAAATAAAAAATAAGATTGAAATTGTTCTTGGTTGAACGAGAAAAATGAGAAGTAAGGAGAATTCTTTTTTTAAATAATAAAAAAAAAACATATATAATTTAAATTGTAAAATAATTATCAATATAACATACAATTAATATGCATGTGTCATATGATATGGTTGGACCAATGTTCATTATACTAAGTCGTCATATCATATGACGCCAGAGTTGAAATGATGTTCCAAGTCGTCATATGGTATGAAGCAACCCTTTGTGCCCTAAACCCTAGTCTTTTGAGGAGACACCATATCATATGGCGCCTCAGTACATTCTCTTTTTTTTTAATCATGTGTTTTTAAATGTTTGGTGATTTTTTTTATCATGTGTTTTTCAATGGGAGATACGCTATATCATATGGGGACCATACTGTTTCATTTTTCTATAAATAAGACTGCACACTCGTCTGTTACTTCATAACAATTATCACTAATAGCCTCAACACTTCACCAATAGCCTCAACACTTCACAATTTTCAAATCAATCTAGAATGTCTGCATTTCTAAATCAACGCTCATCGTCGTCGCCATCATCATCGGAGGAACCGCTTCCAACATTTCCACTAATGAAAAGAAATGTCCTAGTTTATTTTTCATTAACAAAGTCTCCGATGAAGGTCCTACTGCGGAACACGCAGACTTTGAAGCATTTTCATAGGAAATTGAACCGCCGGCTAGAAGGAGATATTGCTGTAGGTGAAAAGATCAGGAAAATTGAGAGGCTAGTTGAGTATTCAAGGAGAAATAAAGTTACTCGTGATTGGAGAAAAGTGGAAAATAATGTTGGTGTCCTTATGATGATGTTAATACCAAAGAAGATTATCTTGATGGTTGTAATATCCTAGACAAGTTGATGCATTGAGTTATTGTATTTGGGTTTGTTGTTGTTATTTTCGGATTCTTATTTTGGTATTAGTTATGTTGTTGTTATTTTCGGATTGTTATTTTGGTATTAAGTTATGTTTGTTTAAGTTATGTTGCTGTTAATTGTAATCGCTTAGGTATGCTATCAATGGAATGAAATTTGTTGTTGATTTAAAGAGACACGGTTACATTAGAAACTATGATCATATGCTTGATCCTACATTGGGACATTTTGTACAATTGTGTCCTGGCTGCCGGCACGAACTACATAATCTGACCATTTTGTTTGCTGTATCCATCTCCATTCGAATACGCGTGTTATTAGGGCGACCCTTTTTCTTTCTTCGCATCAAATCATTATGCCAGACAATTTCGCCTTCGTATTGAGGCCAATAGTCATTCTTTGCCACCATCTGAAAGCTAGTGCCGTAAACATTGCATAAAATTATGACTTGGTGAACAACAAAAAGATAGTTGGTTGGGTCCTGGAGAGCCTTCAAACATGTTGCTATAACATGGGAGCAAGGCATATGAAATGCCTGAAACTTTCCACAATCACACCAACTCCTATCTAGTTCCACTCGGTAACATCTCTTAGGCCTCCCTTTATTATGATCAATTGACTCTGCAACATTGAACCAACCTTTATTACAGTCAAAGATTGTGACCAGATGTGTGTTGGCTTTGGCAGCTTTGTCCTTCATGAATTTCATTGAACTATTACTGTACAACTGCCCAGATTATAATATAGAAGCCCATTTTGTATGTCTGTTATCAAAGAGTGTCTGTTCGCACGCAGTTTTCGCATGAATAACCTCTGACCTTCTAACGCAGGTTTACTTGCGGGACCGGTCAAACGAGTCTCAAAACACTTAGTTTGGGATGTATGGAAAAGTGGTGGAATGGTGTTTGTTTGAAATAGACTGAGAATTATGTTTAGTAAAAACTAAAAGAGATGAATACGTGTACAAAGGAGTGAGAAATAACTTATGCAAATGAGTAAGAAAAATAACAAGATAAAACACTTTTAGAATTAATGACGTAAATTGCTTGTAAAAAGGGAAATATAGACGCGATCATACATTTTGTAGGAGTGAAAACTCTTTTCTCGTAACACTTTGGTACTCAGAGTGTTTTTCTTACAATATTACAAAAACACGCTCCTTGAATTGCAAACATGCATCACTTTAAATAGGGAGAGAAATAACTGCCATGTTGAATCTGGTGACGCCACGTGTTCGTCCATCACTTTTGTAACTTCCCACGTTCTTGGATTTCAAATCCATTTCCCGCTCGAATATTTGTCTCCTTGTATGGACTTTAGTTGACCTAGTAGACCGACACCATCTGGGTCGACCCAACAACCTTCCTCGTCAACTGTCTTCATCTTCTGCAGCATCTTCCATAGTCTGTCGATCAGCCTATGCATCGCTGCTCTCTGGTCAAAACTTCCAGTCAACAAGATGCCCCTTCAAAACCCAGTTTCAACAATATACTTTGTCGACCAAGAAACTGGACGTTTTGGTTCTACGGAATTTCGACCGTGTTTTGGTTATGATGCAACAAAACCCATCATTGCTTTTTGTCGATTCCCGCCACGCGTCATCTATAGTTTTGAAGTAATGATGGTGCCTTTCTGTGCCACGATTTCCAAAACACGACTAATCATGTTGGTCACATCCCAACGTCATGGGTCTTTGAACCACCCTCACTAACTTTCAGAATCAGAACCGTTTTGCCCCTTCCACTGCATGTAACATTGCCTATAAATAACCCATTTTCTCCCTTTGTTTCTCTTTCTCCACTCTTCTCTCATTTCCATTCTTTGAAAACCTCCTTGTCTTCAATCTTCCAAAGTTCTCTACTTCATATTTTAATGGCTCCTTCCAACATTTCCAACACCCACACCACCGGGAATAACCCTATAGCCTTCGTTCTTTCTGATGCTGATTCTCTCAGGCCTCTCTCAAATCCCACGTCGGATGATGAAAAGGTGGTGGCTACATGGAGGCGTCAAATGGTCATCCCTTTCGCTGTCGCCGGAAAGCTGCATCCTTTCCATGGTCCATATCCTGCCAACAAGCCTAGCCACGAGGAGCTACAGGCGTTTTTTCCCTGTTTTCTGGCCACCATCCCCCAGCTTTCCAAAAAGGGGGCACCCTCGACTTAAAGTTCATGGCATACAAAGCTCATGTCTTTTGGTCGATGCCCACCCCAGGAAATAAGGATTACATCTCTTGGTTGAACAAAGTCCAAAACAAGCGCCAAGAGCAATGGAAGAAGGTTGGTATCTTAGACGCCATCCAATTATCCCGAAATGCAGACATGGTCAACCTTTGTCTCCTGCTGGCTGCAGTGTTTTTCTGGGAAGGTTCGACCAACAATTCCCTTGTGGTATGCTGATGCTGAATCTCTTCAGCATGGCGGCCATTACAGGTCTCTCCCCTCTGGGTGAGACATTCAACCCAACTCTGGAGACAAATGCCACTTTTGACTTCAACAGGGCTGGCTTCTAAAGCTACATAGAAGATCACCATGACAAAGGTTCTGCTAAAGTATCAGACAAAAAACACATTGCCTTCCTGAGTCTTTGGTTGTCTTACTATCTCTTTTGTCTTGGCTCGCTACAGATAGCCAAGAGTTATATTAGCTTGGCAATCCAGATACACGAGGATCAATGAGTCTCCTTGGGTAAATTGCTATTGTCTTCCCTTTACCACTTTCTTGGCCTGTCGGTCTTGAGAATAAAACTTCTTCATGAAACCGTCAAATTCCTGAACATCTCAGGGCCCATGTGGTTATTACAACACTGGCTCAATGCCACTTTTGAACATCATATGGGTTATCATGTGTCTGCTACCATGTAGCGTCTCGATGAGGATCGTCCAGTCGAAGGCGTTCGACTTGCTTTGATGACTACATAGGAAACCCCCCACAAAACCCTTTTTACGAAGTATCTCACTATGTTTGCTGAGGCAAACATCTTCGTCCCCGGTATAGCCCATTTCCTGCACCGACGGTTTTGTCTGTCATGGTTTAGAAACTCTTTCCTTGGTGCTTCACCACAGACAGCAGCCATACCAAATTCAGTATGGCGGGCGTTCCTGACTTCTATCGTGTTGTCGTTTCGAATCGAGATGGGGAACAATGGCTTTGGATTTATGAATTATCAGCCCAATCTGGTGGCCCGATAATTTGGTT